GAAACATTAAGGCTGGGGCCACACGAGCGCACAAAATGTGTCCATTGTAGAAATAAACAAGAGAGTGAATGCTACGCTTTCTTCTGGCTTCATTGCACACAGAAAACTGCATTCTGCACTGTGTGGTGTCCTCAGCAACGTCCGTTGCAACGGACATACTTCGTGCGGCCCCAGCCTAATGGTAAACCATTTATATGCAATAAACAACTGCCATCCTCTGGATTATGGCATCATACAGGGTCAGTGGATACCAATGTTTCAGACGAACATACTGCCTCCATCTTCAGAATAGAAGTGAAATCAGCGTGTTCCTGCGAAATTTTAACACCTACCTATCGGACTACATGGTGTCATAATCCAGACAGTCTCACTTTGAATCAGTGCTGCAACTCTCGAGTATTATGAACACTGAATATTATTTTCATATGCTAGATTCTGAGAGTTTGAAAATTATTAAGACTAGATTGCTTTTATTAAACTCTCAATGTGTGTGGATTTGTTTCACTCAAGCCTTCAATTCAAACAATCAGACTTTCCAGGCCATATGCCACAGCACGAGATAACAGTGTGCAGATCTATAGTCATTTCATATTACAAAGTGTTTGCAATTTGGAAGTTTGTGTGGATCTGCAGGGAAACAAATGGTATCCCATCCTGCATATTATAAGCAGTATTCTTTGTTAACAATATTTAATATTAAAACAGGATGTTTTATTGTTACTGTTAAAGATCATGCATTGTCACGTTATTTTATTGCAGTGACTGATATACAAAACTTTTACTTATGTAATAATTTATTCCCATAAATAACCACGAGGAGTGTTCTGTACATAATGCCTCCTATTTTTTTAATGAAAACTACAACAGATACAGAAAGCACAACAACGCAGTTAAATAGAGTAAAATTTCAGCTACTTACAGCTATTTTTCCATATAATCACCACCATTCGTTACGCACTTTCGCCAGCGATGAACAAGAGCCTGTATGCCGCGCCCGTAAAAGTCTGCGCCAGCAGAGGCTAGCCACTTTCTTACAGCTGCAATGACAGCATCGTTGTCTGGAAAATGTTGCCCACGTAGTCCGTCTTTCATAGGCCCAAAGAGATGGAAGTCTGAAGGTGCTAAATCGGGGCTATAAGGTGGATGTGGTAGGACAGTCCAGCCAAACTTTGCAATGTGCGTGGTGGTCGCCAAACTGGTATGGGGTCTAGTGTTATCATGTTGCAAGTGAAAGGTTGTCTGCTTCTCTGGCCTGACTTGGGAAATGCAGGCTTTCAGCTTAGTCAGCGTCATCTCGTAGCATTCAGAACTGACAGTCTCACCAAGCTCCAGGAAATCCAACAAAATCACACCTCACCTATCCAAAAAGACCATGCACATCACTTTCCCTGCCGATGGCTGTGTCTTGAACTTCTTTTTTCTTGGGGAATCCAGATGTTGCCTCTCCATGGACTGTCTTTTGGATTCCGGCTCGTAATGGTGTCACCACGTCTCATCTCTGGTGATGATGCTGTCCAGAAACTTGTCACCATCAGCCTCAAACTGGTGCAACAGGTCCTGACAGACTTCCATTCGATGAGTTTTTTGGTCCTGTGTAAGCATCCGCGGGACCCACCTGGAACAAACTTTGCAATAATCCAGCTTCCTCAACATCGTTCCCAATGCAGTACAGCCGATATTAAACAGCGCACACAGTTCCCTGGTCGTTATCCGCCAATCTGTGCGGATGAGCTGATCGAGGTGCTGTTCATTGTGAGGAGTGGCAGCTGAGCAGGGACGCCCAGGGCGTGGTTTCTCGTGCACTTCACTTTCGCCACTGTTGAAACGCACTACCTACCGCCTCACTGTGCTGACGTTTACTGTATCGTCTCTGTACAACTTTAGCAAGCATTGATGGATGTCAATGGGTGCAATTTGTTCGGCAGTGAGAAATTCAATAACACATCTCTGTTTCGTATGCACTTCTATGTCAGATGCCATTTTGGTAGACTGCTCTGCCGTCACTATCTGTTGCACGACAACCAAACTAACAGTACATTGGCGGGAAGGTTCAACCTTTACTACATCACCAACATCCAGCTGAGACGTTATATATTTAAAAAAAAAACCCACACACACACACACAGGAGGCACTATATACGGAATGCCCTTCGTAATTCCATGGAGCCAAGTAATTGAAAATCTAACAGCTACTCATGAAATTACCATCATTTTATCCCATAGAAGCCAGATGAATTATTCAGTCTATAATCTCATATCTCATTCCTTTATAATCCATTTCACTATTACCCTACCACCTATTCTGGGGGGGGGGGGAAACTGAAACATAAACATAACCTGCTAATATTCAAAACTGATCTTGTCACTTTCTCCCTCAATTTAAATTAACAGACTGTTCACCAGCCTCATGAAGACATTTCATTTAATGAATCCCTTACTTTGTGGAAGGGTCTGCTGTCATTCAAGTTATGCAATCATTTTTAGCTTACATGTAATTTCTCATTGTGCATTTTCAAAATGTATCACTTTCACCTCTCAAGTTGAAACATGCAATGAAGGCAACAGCAAAAATACTAAAGCTTTACAAACTCCTGTTCCACAAGGGACAGACAGTTACAACTCTCAAGGTTATGGTTAAGTTTCTGAAATCACCTAACAACTGTGTTTGAATCCTGATACTAAACAGAAAAATCAGAAAGCTAAATAAATTCGAATTTGTTATGCAACATGACAATTTCAAACCTGTGATCGAGTGATGTGACAAAAAGGTGACCTCAATTTAAATACAGTAGGATGCAGGAGCCAGGATCATATGAAAGGGGAGGACAAAGAAAAACAAAGGCCTACATATTGTACTGAAAATGATCACATGGGTGATGATAAAAAACCAGCTGCTGAAGGTGCATACACCAGAGGAGAACAGGATGAACAAGTGGTACATATTGTGACATATCTGCGCTATGCAGGACACTCCCTCCCTTGCCAGCAGTGACATAAGTGCATCGGAGTGCTGCCGCTGCTACGATAACAGGCTAGTCAACACTCCGCCCCCCTCTCCCACAGTGACGTAACAGCACTTCCCACTGTGACGTAACATGAGGCAACAGGGAATGGTATAAGAAGCCGGCTGAGCAGTATGTGAGAGATCAGGGGTGTCACAATGTGGGTCATGAAGTCACCAAGTGAAGCAGAAGTCTAGCAGTCGCCGAGAGCAGTGGATGTAATTGTGATACTGCCAATGGTAGTAATTTTAATGGTGAATTGCGTAATTGCAAGAGCGAATGTGCAATAAATTCGCTATATCCAGAATGGCGTGAAGTTATTTGTCGTGTGACCTACCCAACACGTGACAATATCAATCAGAATAGTCTATGTTCCAACCGAGAAACGAAACTGGGCACCTACAGAACACATGGTGAGAGTCTTAAAAGGGGAAACTTGATNAGTGGATTTTATTGGGGGTTTCCCCATGAAACACTTCAAAAAATGTGAGTGCTAAGTCACCATGATAATAGCATGGTAAAGAGACTAGACAGTGTGTTGTCTACTGCAAGAATAAGAGTACATACCCTCCAATTTTGAGGGGACTTTAATTTTGTACTGTGCATCAAGGAGAGTTTTTTGGCCTATGATAAGAAAATAGACTTCTGAGGTAATGAAAATGCTCTTTTTAAATCCAGTGTATTATAATTGTATCTGAACTGAGTGAAACACCTGGATATTACTAAATATAATACACTATCCCCCTTGCCTGAATAACCTTTAAATACACATAATTACTGCTCTGACATCAAACCAGTCTGTTACTTAATTCCTCCACTTAAAGGACGGACAATGCACAATTCTGAAATACATGTATGTACAAGAACACATAAAAACATACCCTTTATTTTACATGTGTCACTAAAGGACAGCCTGCTAAAAAAGCAGGAACATTTGCAAAAACCTAAAGATTTACTGAATTTTTGTGAGAAAATAATGCAAGCTATATACATAGGTCGTACTGAAAGTCACGAGCAACTTTTTTTTGCATGCAACCTGGGAACAGCAGACGAAAGAGAGTATGGTGGTAGGTGAAACCAGCTGTTGTGTTAACCTTGAGTGTCTTGTGACGTCAGCAGCTTGCATCACATGACCAGTATGGCTCCTAACAAAATGGCCGACGATATGTCGTTTCGCCAGCGTGCTGTCATTGAATTTCTTGTGAAAGAGGAAATCCCTGCTGCAGAAATTCACCAGAGACTTCAGCGTGCTTATGGAAGTGTGTGTATGGGTGTGAGCAGTGTTCGAAGATGGGTGAAACATTTTAAAGATGGGAACACCAGCATCGAAGATGAGCCTCAGGGCGGTTGTCCTCGAACAGCCTCAACTGAATGCAACAAGGAAAGAGTGGATGAGATCATTCAATGACAGGCATGTGACTGTGGACACAATAGCCCAAAAACTTGGAATAGGGCACAGTGCAATATAGGAGATGACTGAAAGCTTGGGCTATAGGAAAGTTTGTGCTCATTGGGTCCCGCAGTTATTGACCGAAGACCACAAAGGTCAGCGAAAAGCCATCAGCTCAGAACTGCTGCAGAAATATCGACACAAAGGCGATGATTGTTTGCTCTGTATTGTGACAGGTGACGAAAGCTGGTTTCACCATTTCAAGCCTGAAACGAAATGGCAGAGTACGGAATGGCACCATTTGCATCATCCTGCATGACAACGCTCGCCCCCACGCCGCTCGCCTCACATTGGAAGCAATTGCAAAGATGGGGTGGGAAGTTATTCCACACCCCTCCTATAGCCCTGATCTGGCACCCTCAGACTACCATCTTTTCAGATTTGTGAAGGATCAGCTGCGTCGACAACGTTTTGAGACGAGGGAGGCAAGTCAGAAAGCAGTGCATCAGTGTCTTTGGATGGCTGGAATGGAATTTTACAGAAGGGGAATTTTCAAACTCCCAGAACGCTGGGAGAAATGTGTACAAAGAAGAGGCGATTATGTGGAAAAATAAAGAAAGGTCTGCAGATTGGGGTGGTGTATTTGGTTTGTCAATAATAAAGCATGTTACTTTACAAAAAACTGTTGCTCATGCCTTTCAGTATGACCTTCGTATATAACACTCTAGTGCCTACCTTGCCAGACACTGAGAATCCTACTGAAAAAATCATATTCTATGACACACCAACATCTTTGTAACTTGGCAATTATGGCATATAGAACTGATCTTGGTCAAACAAAAGGTGATGAAACACTTATATTCCATTTAGGTCGTAAGTACGATACACTATGTCATTCATAACAAGGTCTAGAGACGGGATTCTCAACTGGGTTAGTAAACCTAACACAAGGTATATTTTGAAAATGTGGGTAAAAACTTTAGGTACCTAAGAAATGGCAATTTAATGGAACTTCAAAAATAAAACCTACCACAGGGATAACTTAAACCGGAACTCCTACCTGGATTTCAACAAATTTGCTTCATTGTGAGTAACCTTCCTAAAACAAGCAACAATACCTACAATAAAATTAACACGCATTTCAAGTTACAACATAAATACTGAGCTATTTATTTAAAATAAATAACTTATTTATCCAAAAATTAACATATAAACAGTGAAAACAATAAATGGAATGTTGGAACTAAATTCACGCTTCTCTCACTTTCCAGCGCATCAGTTCCATGCATGCTTTGGCATCCTCGGCACTATCATGACCATCCACTGAAACCAAATACATTACTTTTATCAACTGATAACATGTCAATATAACAATATAACAAGAAAATCCCGTGTGACAGTTTATTAACCCAGAACTATGCAGAAGTTTCACCACCACAGTAAAACGTGAATTTAATTTATAGTTAATAAAAAGACTCCGTGGTTTCAATCTGCAAGTGAACTATACTGACCGAGCGACTGCTTAACTTCACATAAAAGCAGTGCTCCAACTAAGGGTAGACTATGTAAAAATGTGGCTATGAATAGGTTTACGTGAACAAAAAAATCCACAAAAGTTTTAAAAGTCATGACTTACCACTCTCTTGGATGATCTTATTAAGGTGTTCACGGCATAGAGTTTTCAATGCCCTCTTCTTTGGCGGCCCCATTTTGTGTGGAAACACAACACTTGTGTCTATCACAGTGCTATGTATGATCTGCAAGAAACAGCAGTGTCAACACAGACTTAGAACTAAACAAGATATTTTAAATCTACAGTACACTTCTTTCTTAGAGCCCTCAGAGGTGTAGTGGGGCATGCGTCAGCATTGTTGGTTGAAGCACTATGATACAAGCTGGATGACTGTGGGATCGAATCCCGATGAGGTGGATTTTTTCAATTTACCTAATCCTTCCAGCCGCAATATGGCTTTGGGGTTGAATCCGTCTCTGACAGAAATGAGTACCAGAAATATTCCTGGGGGTAAAGGGCGGTCGGAGTGTAAGGCGAGGAAAAGGGAAAGAAGGTAGCAAGTAAACGGTGGTGGCATGACAGTGGTAGTAGCATTAGCAAAAGCTATATAACAATACACACCATTTGTCTTCTCCCCCATGCATACTACATGCACCGCTCATCTCATTCTCCTTGACTTGATCATTTTAAATATGTAGTGAAGAGTACAAGTTATGAAGCTGCTCATTATGCAGTTTTCTCCAACCTTCTATTATTTCTTCTCCCTTTGGTTCAAATATTCTCCTCAGTGCCCTGTTCTCAAATACCCTCAGTCTATGTTCCTCCCTTAATGTCAGAAACCAAATTTCACGCTCATACAAAACTAGAGGCAAAATAGTAGTTTCATATGTTTTACTGTTTTCATTTTTAGACGACAGACAAGAAGACAACAGGTTTTGAAATGACTGGAAGAAAGTATTACCAGAATGTAATCCTCTCTTTAATTTTCTCATGTATAAAATTTTGATTTATAAACACCGTTCACAAATATCTGAACTCTGCTACATTTTCAAAGGCTCTATTAGCTGAAGAGTTCCATTTTCTGGGATAAAATGCAACATAGTCTGTTTAGGTCAGTCAACATTTTAGAGGAACAAAGCAGAACCACTGGTATCATTACATTAAACAGGTAGGTCTGCAAGTAGGTTAACGAACAGTACAACAGAATTTGAAGGAAGTGACAGCAGTGTTATGACAAGTGGTATTGCTGTGAAGTAATGGGTGGACAGAAAACTGCTCTCAAGAACATAAGTCGTTACAGCTACTTTCTCCATAGACTGATAATTGTTACAATACCTTTAATGCTTTGAAGTCACTATCTAAACTGTGACCTATAAGGATTGTTCTTTCATGGATAAATGACAGTAATGTAGCCTGAACATCATATATACTGGTCTGAACTCCAATCATGTCATCTTCAGTGATCCCACTAAATCTAAAACAGAAATGAACAGTTTAATGCAACATCACATTACAAGTACAGTGAATAGGCTTAAAAGGATTCTGACGATGGTGTATGCTTTACAGAACTATAAGATTTATTTTGGACTCTATCCATCGCTTGGTATATATAAGACAAAAAAACCACAACATTTTGGAGACTAGATCTGTCTCCATCCTCAGGTGGATGGGGCAGGATAGACCTAAAGAGGTAGTCTCAATCTTTCTAACGGGCCCATCTGAGTAGGTCTATTTTGCCCCATCCACCTGAGGACGGAGACAGATCCAGTCTCCAAAACGATGTGGTTTTTTGTCTTACATATACCAGATGATGGATAGAGTCCAAAATAAACATTATAGTTCTGTACAAAGTACAGTGAAATTTAAATGCCTCAAATTACAGAGTTCATGGAAGTTCTAATCTACAATGGAATCACAAGCTGTAAACGTTACCTGGTTTTGAAATTTCATTCTAGCTGTCAAGTACACTTCAAGGATAGTTTGCATTACTAACAATAAATAGAACTGCACTGCTACATTCCCTGTGTTCTGTACAGATCCCAAAATAATGAACGACAGCAGAAGCCTATACAGACAGTATTCTGTACACTCATCCTAAAATGCAATGGTGAAATATTGACTCTAACAAAGAGAAACAAAATCAGCATCTCAGGAACAGATAAGAAATTTTTCAGAAGTACTGAAGGAAAATAATGAGAAAAAATGAAATTTTTAAAGAAATTATAACTCAAAATTTGTTAACACTTCAAAAGCAGAAATTCATTTGAACAACATGTAAAAATGTAGTTCCTACCTCACAGGAGGCACAGTACGTCTCCACTGTAAAGACCAACCAGTTAATGCTGTACACATAAATACAATCCATCAGCAAAATGCATCTTTTGTATCTAAAAGCAAATGCTGGGCTTTAAAGGCTCAATGAAATCAGAAGAGCAATCATTATGATGGTTTTGCCCAGTGAAAAGTATGACAAAAAATGGATATTCAGAAGGGCATTAGAATTAAAATTTAAAGGTAAGAGAGCTACTAAATAGACCAGAAAAAGATGGTTTGCAAGAGTACTGAAAGATATCGGAAGAGCAAAAAGCTGGAAAGAAACTGAAAGGAAAATATTTTGGGGAAAGGAAGCTTTTCATCCACGAACTGGCAAAGTTCGTACCCATGCTGTCTATAAACATTACAGTGTGAACCTTACTACTCCTTACTCCTAAGTCCTTTTTCCTTCCTCCTACTTAAATAAAACAAAGAACAGTTCTTGAAAATGTGGGGGGGGGAAGGTACTGTAAAGATCTGAATCTTGCTTCTTAAGGCCAATGTACAGGCCTGAATTAACCTGGGGAACAAAAGAAGCAGGACACAATATTGCAACGTTTCACACACAGGAAACAACACTGCAATTCACATCTTCCTTCATTTCATCAATGTCTGAAAATTCAGAAATCACTGAACAGGATGGTCTATCTTGTATTTGGGAGGTACTTGGTTCAAATCTCTGCCCCGAAACCAGCTATCCTTGCTGAGGTACTACATCCTTTTCCTCAGTCCTTCCAGGTAAATGCCAGATATTATCTTGATTAGGTCATGACCAATTCCTTCCAAATTCATCATTCATTCATCACCCCATAATCCAGTAGAACACTGCCTCAATACTGACAGCAACATTACATAACTGACAGCATCATTACATAACTAAGAGAATGGAAAAAAGCATTCAATCACGTGAATCTTCATGACACCCACTCAACTCCAAGCCCACTTTTAAGACACCATTTTCAAAAATAAAACTTTATAATATATGGAGCGGTTTTCATGGAATTGTTAGTAGCTGTCCCCAACTCCTAAGTCATATTATAAAACACAAGAATAAATCTTCTCTACAACTCAAGCTTAACAACATGTGGGAGCCTCCCACAGTGAAGCAAGAGCTAGCCAATCAGCGAATATCATGGCAGCTCCAATGCCCACTGGGTTGGGTGCCACCTAGCAACAACATATGAAGAGGCAGACCTCCGACACGCTAGTCAGTTGCAGCAACGCTTGCATCGAGAGAGCATATCTGGAGTGCAGACAGCAACAGTGAGTCTCCTAGCAGGAACACCATCAGCCGATGCAAGGAAGACCAGCCAGCTTACTGTCACCTGGCTGCTGATGCACAGAAGAACAGCTGGCTCACTGTCACCTGGCCACTGAAGCCAGCCTGCTGCGGCTGGAGTTTTTCTGGCATTCATCGAACACAATCTGCTTTAGAAACACAGCCCTTTTGAGGGCCCACAATGCCTCACTGGTTACCACACTCTGCCTGCCTGCCTGCCTGCCTGCCTGCCTGCTGGTCTGTATACTTTGTTAACAGCAATAAATATTTGTTATAGGAATTTATGTGGTTGTCTCTCCGTGCTACCAGATATGACATCCCACAAATCTATAACCATGATTTGGCTGCACTTGAGTTTCANAACATGAGTCACATTAACACTACCATAGTAGAATTCAGAACTTCTGTCACTAATATCAAAACCCTTCACTGCACAAGACTACAAGCTTGTTCCATCAATCTCCAACCCCCAAAAGCCAAACCAACTAAAACCATATTCTCTATTGCAAAATATTTAACATGCATGCTATATACTTCATTTCAGGTGTCAACGGCTTTCTGCCACCGAGGGTTGGTCAAAAGGAAATGGTGCAATATCATCTTACTGGCACAGGGTACTCAAATGTAGCAAACAGACCATACAACGAAGGACCAGATAGTTGTGCCTGAAAAATGCCCTCATTGAGACTGGCTCTTAACACTAGATAGAGGAACAACATATACCTTGTGTTATAATCAATAATTGGGTTTTCTGGTTTAACCAAACTCTCGTATGCTGTATTCAGGTCTCGGTCAATAACTGTGACTCTTGTCAGTTCTAGTCCTACAGTGGTGTAGCACATCTCACAGTCCAATGCATAAACACCATAATCACCATCCGCTGGCTCCAGATTATGTGGAAGAGTTTTCACAAAACCTCGCAACTCATCAGGATCAAATCCATCACACACATGACATGAAGCCACCGTACAACCACCACTTTCACCATCACTACTGCAGCACGTATAACGTCGTTCCCAGCCACCCAAAACTGAAACAATTCAAAATTACAAAGTACTTTTCATCAAAAATTAGCTGTAAAGAAGAGGATGTTGCTTCCATAGGAGAATGTGGAGCTGGAAACTTAGCATTCCACATAGTACGCTGTGCCTATGACAAACCCCTACGTCAAAAAGTAACTACAACGCAACTACAAAACACCACACACCCAGGATACTTCACATTCATAAGAAACCATACCGACAACAACATACTTGCATAATATGCCCTATATATCCTTACACAAACAGCTATATATACATTACTCCAATGAGCTTTCAGAAGTAACTAGATTCTTGTATAATAAAACATAATATAAAAACTATCAGCAGATTTTCCATTACTCAGTCACTAAATTGTACACATACAAACCTCCCTACAATGAAATTAAAAAGCTTGGCATTATATTTTATACATTTAATTTCAATTTTTTTTATGAAAAACAAACATTTTTATATTTTGTCATTACGCAATCGAAAAATTTATCACCACATCTTTTACTGTAAAAATGTATCAATTTCAGTCTGCATTTCGATAATAATGTATTTCATTTATTTATCAACAATGATTAATGCAACCAAAACATATGGTTGAACAAGACAAAACTGATTAAATAACTGATATTTTTACTGATCTTACTCGATTGTATTAAAAATTAGTTTACTTCACTGTTGCGTCAATGGCTCCCACGCCTCGATGCCAGCCTAGGTTGTGCATTGAATTTTTATAAATTTGCCATATTATTATTAGTATATTTTTACTGTATATAATGCACAGAAAAATATTCAGACAAAAGTATACATATAATTATATGTATACCTACACACAGACCAAATTTTGTCGAAGTTGCCCACACAACAAAAATGATTGTGCAAGGCCCAAGTTACACATTGTCCATTTCAACTAAAACCTACCTCTTGTCTGAAATAACCTTCCCCAGTGGTAAATACACTGCTCTTCTTTAACTTGAAAGCCGTCCCTGTTCACAGAATATGCCTGATTGCAGCGACAGCACACACGGAGTACACGTTTCCGATCTGGTGAAAGTGGTGTCTTTTTTACTGTTCCAGGAGGCAAATGCACAATTGCAACACCTTTCTCTTCTGGATGTGGCCGAGGAAATCCATTTGAGCATAACAATTCCTCTGTGAGTATGTGTGGTGTCAACAAAACATACAAGGGTTCTGTAGATAACTTTGATCCTGAAACAGTTTGTGCAAGGAAATAAAATTCTGTGATGGTAACCTCTTGTGTTCTGGTGACATCATGCAGAATGTAACCTTTTGACTTGTTCTGTATCCAAAGGTACTAACCTACTTAGGATTTATAGAATGTAAATAAATTCAATTCAATTCAATTCAATGCACTATGGTAGTAACACCAAATTAAAGTTTCACCATACTCAGGTGCAATATAGACTCAGTTTCGATCCCTATACAGCTGTGCAAAATTTATGTGACATAAATTCTGAACTTTAAATTTGTCTCATAAATCTCTGATATAATATTTTATGAGGTGTATAAATTCTGCTATGACTGAAAATATGAATTCCAGAATTTTTTCTGTTAGGTTTTATGAGTTGGCCTTCCTCCCCTACCCTTATTAACTCTTGCTTCAATTAAGGCTACGTTGGCATATGGTATCACATGCGTAAAGGTATTTTTCTCTAAAGACTGTACAGAAATGTGCTGAGGAAGTAGATCACATTGGTCACGATTTTTCAAGATGCTTTACCCCTGGGAAGAGCCCCTGCTACCCATTGGATAAGGGGCTAGGTGGCCCCAAGAGCCAGTCTGGAGGCTCTCAAGTAGAGAAGGATCTCTTGGCCCTGCCGAGAACTGAACACCAGCTGACCGGCGCATAGTGAGTCGCCAAACTGACTGACCTATCCCAGCTTTTTTTTTCATACTAAATGAAAAGTTATTTACAAAACTTACATTTATTAAATGTGGCAAAATAATATATACTCTTAACATTCAGCTTTACCTGGAAATAGAAAAAATATCCACTAAATACAGGATTTCATTAAATTCAGGAACACTAAATCAGAGCTTCACTCTATGAGGACAATGAAATCAAGATGGATGAGATGGAGTGGGCATGCAGCATGCACTGAAGCAATAAGACATGAATATGAAATTTTAGTCTCAAATCCTGAAGGGAAGAGATCAATCTACAGACCTAGGTAATGTAAGAGGTATTATTTATTTTTTATTTTTTTAGAGAGGGTGGGTTTCCCCATGCACCGCGACCAGTTTGATCTATTGTGCTTCCCTCTATGATATTCTACCAGTCTCTTTACCCTACCGATAAATGGTGCGTACCATCAGTCCTGCCGAGCAAGCAAGTTCGGCCACTTGCTTAGCGGTGTCTATAATGCTTCCCCCATCTATCAGAGGCCTTAGAGACTGCTGTTGGGCGGGAAACGTCCTGAAATTTGGCTCAGTGATCCCCTTTGGGGATATGAGGTTCTTTTACGTGCTGTAAAGTTACGACACGGGACACGCAGCTTAAAGTCTCTCCTGGAGGACTTGTTCCCTGAATTTTTCCGCCCTTAAAAATTCCACGACCTCCGCCAGGTATTTGAACCGGCATACCACGAGTCATGAGGTGGGAACGTTACCTCTAGACTACGGAGACCGCTAATGTAAGAGGTAAGGTGGGAGCACACTGAATTTATCTGGCTAAGGACAGGAACCAGCGAAGGGCTCTGGTAAACATGGTAATGAACCTACGGGTACCATGTAGGGCAGATTTCTTGAGCAGCCGAGGGACTATTACCTTTTTGAAAAGGACTTTCCTTCTCTTAATCATAGCAGAACATGACTATGGTAGATTCTAAAGGGTTCTGATGATGGTGTATAACACAATTACTGGGTTTTTGAAGTTTGTTCATCATCCAGTATTCTAATAACTAGAAAATGCAACATTTTGGAAACTGGATCTGTTTCTCTCACAAGATGAGGGGGGAGAGACACCTACTCTGTGAATGGCACTAGTGGTAGGCACTACATGTTTTCACAAATTCTCCATTTAATTCTATGCATTGGTGTTCATGGACTCGGTTTGTTGGCTAGGTCTGTAGCATAAATTCCTACATCCTTTTCTATCCTAGTTCCATAAATGTGCGTGCTTTTATCACAATTTTTATTGCACATTTTCCTGTTATCTCCCTTCGACATAACCTGGTCTTAGGCGTTTGAATAACTGTAATGAATCTGACATGTGTTGTCCAGTGATTGAGGTAGCTCTTTCTAAGGGACCCAACAGAGTTTCCAAAACATATTTTCTAGTTTCTAGAATACTGGACAATGAACAAAGCCAAAATATAACAAGTAAAGGAACTGTAATATTACAAAGTTAAACTTCTGTTTTAAAGCAACAGAAACTTAACATCAGATAATACCAGAGAGAGAGAGATGGTTATTTAGTTTCAGCTACAATATTACTGGACATCTGGCAACACAATGATCACTTGGGGCTCACAAGATGTGAAAAAATCTCACCTTGTGTCTTGGTATGCCTCTTAATACTCCAAGATCCTTTCGTGGCACTATGACCTGCCAGAATAGCTGAATGTGACAAGACACGAGGTTGATGCAAGGCAGATGTGCTTGGCTGGTTAGTGTTCGCTGTCACAACAAAAGTCAATATCACACGACATTCCTTTGACAAAAAAAAAAGATAACATGCAAAACATTTCCTTTGCTTCATACAAAACCACAAAGCAATGAAAGAAATGTAACTATAAAATAGTTTTAATACTAACAATGACTCTTTCCATGATTATTACTATGACCATCATATCTGTCACATGACATGACATGAAATGGAGCACATACAGAGATATCTAACCACAAAATTCTTACACTTTGGATAAATATAGAATTATGAAAGAGATGGCTTTCAGAACAAATGGAAGCTATAATCAAGGGCAGTGTCTGATGATTTATAACGGCAACCATTTTGAAACTGTAGCAATATTGTGACATGTTGGCCCCTACCTCCCCAGCGGAACATAGCGGTAACGTAGCGCTCGCGTAATAGGCGAGTCATCACACCGCCACTCTCACCGCGGTGACGTCACGAGCGGAGCCGAAGTGGGCCGAGCGGAGCCGAGGTTAGCCGAGCCCCCGCAACCTGGTAGCTATGCAACGCGAGTCAACAGCGGTGACGTAACNGGAACCGCTTCCTACTGTGACGTGGCCCGCAACAGGCAACACTGCGGCTATATAAGGGAACTGTACAGCAGCTATGAGTCAGTTATAAAGCAACAGTCGCCGAGTCGAGTTGTAAAAGTAACAGTCGCCGAGTTAGTTGTACTGTGACAGCCGTCGAGTTGTACTGTGACAGCCGTCGAGTTGTACGGTGACAGCCACCAAGTTGTAATGTAATAGTCGCCGAGTGTGTTATCAACAGTTCTCCAGTCAGCCGACTACCGTTGGAGTATAGCAGCCATCACGGAAAGAAGAACCAGACGTGTGTGATTGTTTAATTGGAAGCGTGTGATACAGTGATACCTAGCTCCCCTACTGTCAACGTGTAGACTACTGAACACAGAGTGAACTGATTTGCGCATAGTTTTATAAAGTGTGAAACCCCGCAACTGTGTGATAATTAATTGTAGCCGATAGTTGTAGATTGTTTAATAAACCAGTTAACAATCCGAACGGCGTCTTCAGTAACGTAAACACGTTACAATATGATAAAAACTTTGACTTAAATTTTCACCTTAATAATCAGAGAAGAGAAAACTTTGTATAGCATATAGTACACTGTTGTTCATTTCCTGTGTAAGATATTTGTTGTTATTTCATTTTCCCACCCCAAATACTAAAGTAAAGTGACAGAGAGAACAACTACAAAAAAAATATGCTGCAGTTACTTTCAATGCCACTATTACTGATTATTATTTTCCTCCGCAAAATACCGTATTTACGCATGTATAGGCCGCGTGCGTGTATAGGCCGCAGCACAATTTTCAGACAGAAATTATAGAAAAAATAATTTTCTTGGAATATTATTTCAGGAGTAGAAATTATCCCGAATTTTGGCAACATTTAACATTCCTAAGTTCGCAAGTAGCGAAAATAACGGTACCGCTCGGAACAAAGCATTGCGGGGGACAGTTATAACCTTTTTGCCTTTTCTTGACTTGCCTGGTTAGTTCTGAGTGAAGTCGAGTAAGAGCAGGTTATACGTCTAAATTTAAACTTCAAGTGGTGCGTTACGCACAAGAACACGGAAATCGAGCAGCAGGGAGAAAATTCGACGTTGACGAAAAAAAGTGTGTGATTTCGAATATTTCGAATATAAGCCGCACCCCAGTTTTCCTCTTGAATCTCTGGCAAAAAATGTGCGGCCTATACATGCATAAATACGGTATATACAGTCAGGTTTAAGAAACAGTTTCTCAAGCATCACTCTAAAAACAATATACACAAGAACTGAAAAACTGTCCAACGGTATGCAGCATATGTCACATGTAGTCTTACAGAATGGTACTAGGTACAATGGTGACAAACAATAAGAACCCATCACATGCTTTATGTACTGAATATCCCACTATTTAAGCTTTGTGTAATGACAATATTGTAACCCACTATTTAAGACAATTTTCTCATAAAATGAGAATACAGAACACTAAGACACTGGCATGAAAATAAATTTGAAACAAAATGCATCACCACCAACCTTCAGTTGTTGCTTCTTTCCGAAGTCGGTTAATTTTGTTTGACATGTGACTTGCATACACAGATCTGGTGGTACTACGACTGTAAATCACAGCTTCCTCTTCTGTGGCCTGGTGACCAGAAGAAAGCATAAACTTTCATGATTAAAATAAAGTAAAAAAACAGATATGCAAGATAAAACTTACTTAACTCAATATGCAGAATACAGAAATAAAAATATGTACAAAGAATATAATGACCATTTTGTCTCATAAGCAGAATATATATTTTTTCTAAGGTCAGTATTTCTTTATGGCCCACTAATTAGAAAAATATCTAATTTCTTACAATAAATTTCTTACCCCCTTGTTGGTGTCTCCACCTTATCGTGGTGAGGGGGTTTGAGTATGCCAAGGATCCTGAGAGCTATACCAGCGGTAGCGTAGCTACTGGCAGGGCCTCCTTTGCTAGACAGGTCAAAGGGTAGGCATCAGATGAAGAGAGATACCAAAAACTAAAAAATTATGCAGGAAGCAGGGTCATCAGTAGCAACTTGAAGCACAGAGCAAATGATGCTCGAGATGGTTCAAGTTCGTATAGCAACAGGCGTGACCAGAGTGGTTTGAACAGCTGTTGTACTGTGATGTGGAAAGCAAATGGAAAAACTACCACATTATCACTTTTCCTGGATAGTCTCTTTCCAAAAACAGAGATACCATGTATGCGAAGTGCCCAGAAGATGAGGAAGAAGACGTAAGAAGATGCTGGATGACCTTGGGGACAGAAGAGGATATTTTAATTGAAGGAGAAAGCATGAGATTGCATTAAGTGGAGGAACTGTTTTGGAAGAGACTGCGGACCTGTCGTCTGACAGATTACTGATGAATGAACCGATGACTGAATGAAATTTCTTAATTATATGAAAGGATGGGGAGGAGGAGGATAGAGATGAAGAGGGGAGGAGGTGAAGTTAAATGTTAAAGCAACATGAAAGCATTTCAGATTTCAAATTCAATGTGAATTTTCAATCTAAAACTTGAAATCAATTCCTCTAAGAGAGAAGCTGAGGGCTATTCAGAAACCAGAGGAGAAATACAACTTCATATAAAGAATTTTTCATATGTAGCATACAAGGTCATAAAAATAATTGTCTAAGTATGAACTGAACTCTGAGAAGGATACCTTTATAACATATGAGTATTTAACACAATGAGCTTTCAATCCAATAAACTTGTTCCACTTGCTCCGTTTGTTCCAATTGTTCCGTTTCTTACACTTGTTCCACCTGTTCCACATGTTTGGAACAGAGATTCAAATCAAGCAGAGAAGGCACATTTCAGTTTATCAATACTGGCATAAGCCACTTTTAGCAGGATTGAGACATTTGTGTGGCACAAATTCCAGTAGCAATAAACCTCTGACATCCCAAAACACAATAGCCATAATCTATATATTACAGATTGTGAAATGAGGGCTGTTTCTAGGAAATGAATGTGTAAACAAGTTGCCATGGAGAGAGCATTTCCTGGAAATCAACTGATTACAGAACATGGTTTCCAGGGATACAGAAACTGAAAGTTGTACACACTTAGAAAACCAAACCTTTGTTGAGAATTAAGACATGGTTTCCAAGGCAACGAGTTCCTGGAGAACAGAAATGGAACTGTTGGAAGTGGTGATCTCTATTAGATTCTCTGGCAGTTATAAAAGGAAGCTGATTCATGAATTCAATTCTGTCAGAGATTCATTTGCAAGAGAATTCAGAAGGCAGTTCAATAGTTGAAGTTCTAACCAGATAAGATTTCTTGCTAAGCAACAACTAGTAAGCGGATGTTGAAGGCTTCATTTTGTGTGATATTGGTACAGTGATCACCTCTGTGGTCTAGTGATCAGAGTTCCTGGCTACAGATCCAGAGGTCCCAGGTTCGATTCCGGTGCTATCAGATTTTCTGAGAAGTAGTGGGTCTGGAATGGGGTCCACTGAGCCTCATGAGGATAACTGAGGAGTTATTTCAAGGAAATGATGGCTCTGGTCTAGAAAACCGAGATTAATGGCTGTGGGTCACCATTGTGCTGACCACATGACACCCTCTATCTGCAAAAGTTGGCACTAACTTCACCAACAAGTGGCGGTCGGTGGTCACTCAATCAGTATAGTTCACTTGTGGACTACAGGACACTGAGTTTGTTTGTTTTTTATATATAGGTGCAAAACAAACAAACTCCGTGGTCTCAGTCTGCAAGGGAACTATACCAACCGAGCGACTATTGCTTGTCAGCGAAGTTAGTGCCAAGTTCGGATAGAGGGCGTTGCATGGTCAGCGCAACAAATCCCTATGGCTGTTAATTTCGGTTTTCTAGACCAGAGCCGCTATTTCCTTGAAATAGCTCCTCAATTATCTACACGAGGCTGAAGTGGACCCCGTTCCCAGACTCACTACTTCTCAGAAAATCTGGTAGCGCTGGGAATCGAGCCCGGACCTCTCGATCTGTAGCCAGGAACTCTGACCACTAGACCACAGAAGCGGTTTTGATATAGGTATAGTAACCTTTAAACTGTTATATTTATTTGTAGTTATGACTTGTGAGTGTACATTAAATCTATTCACCTATTCCACAACCCATTATTATTTGTCATGCTAACCAGGAATACGTGACAACATAAAGATGCCTGGATAAAAATGAGTGTGATATCTCTTGTGCTTTCATTCTACATTCTCCTGTTTTGTTGCTAGGTTCCAATGGTGAACCCATGTTCCATAATCTGTCATTACTCTACAAATATATCTGCATCGAGGTTTTTTCAATTAAACATTCAAATCAGAATTTCTTCTGATGTGGAATCAGCATTCTAGGTACCAAATGAGAAGCTGCTTTAGATATGGGTAACTTTTCAAGAGCTATAGTGATTGAAATATCCAGTTCATGTAATAAAGCAGTGATTGGTGTGATGGTGATCCATTTACATATCCTCCTTTTGTCACCAATTTCCTGATCAGTAAATTCAACGGAACACTAAGTCATGGGATTGACTTCAATTGACTTCCTTTCCTACTTGAATAGCTTGCTCTAGAATTCTATATGGTAGTAAGCAGGCAAAGATCTACCATAAATTTTGGAAATTAAATCATGTATCTCCTCAGGAGATACTTTTTACAAAAGTTTAATCACACAGCAAGAACTTCAGATGAACACATTGGAAGCAGGATTACAAATTTAATGACAAATTTAATCAAAGAGCAACACTAAAGCTTTGAAAAGTCCATGAAATTGATGTCACTTGTAACACATTTAGGTCCCTGAACCAGGAACTGCACATGGACATTTACAAGCCATGTCACTACATGTCAAAGCATACACATATTTGCCAACTGCTGCTTTGAAACTCAAGTAGATACATACTGAATGAAATTCAAACAGTAACAATTATCACAGGAGAATGTACTAATGGAATTTGGTGGTTTATGACATGTATGGCACAGAAGGGATAGTGATTTTGAAGACTGACATCAACATCAAGGGAAAAGGCAAGAAGCATTGAAAAGAATAAGATGGGGGGGGGGGNGGGAAAGGATATTGATATTCAGGAATTCAAGGAAAAGGGGCACAGCATGTGACAACAGATCCTCAATGGCATTCAGACACTTTGGTGACACAGAGTTCTTAAGCCTGAAAATCCCACTAAATGTAAGTGAAGAACAACACTTACACTAAGAGAATTACTTTGAACTGAAGAATTTGTAGTAGGACAAAATGACTGAGGTGAGGTACATAATGCGAGAAGGAAAAATGTGAGCAGGGGTACAAGCATGGTAACTTCTGAAGTAGGGAGGAGAAAATGAATAATTTCTATGACAGGGAAGACGAGTATAGAATTTGAGAGTACATGGAAATAACATTAACAGATGGCATAATGGTGTCATAGGGAGAATAAGCTGGAATTGTTGAAATGGTTGCCATTTTATGATATTAGAGGAGTCATGCCTATGTCTCAGAGATGTAAACTTATGTGGGTCCAAAGTCACATACCATGTACACGGGGAAAAGAAGAAAAAAAGGCTCATATCATTTAATCTAAGTAGCGGCGTCTGTAGTCTAGGGGCAACGTTCCCACCTCATGATTCAAGATATGCGGGTTCAAACCCGGTGGAGGTTGTGGAATTTTTAAGGGCAGAAAAATTCAGGGAACAAGTCCTCCGGGAGGGACTTTAAGCCGTGGGTCCCGTGTCATAGATTTACGGCACATAAAAGATCCTCATGTCTCTAGGAGACCTTTTATCAAAACTAGATAAAAATTTCCCACCCAAGTAGTTTCCAATGCCTCGGGTAGATGGGGAAGTATCGGGTACCGCTGCCAGTAGAGGGGAAGTATTGGGTACTGCTGCCAGTAGAGGGGCCGAACTCGCTGGCTGAAGGGGGCTGATAGCGAGCTCCAGTACCGGAAGGGTATGACGACTGGCAGAATATCAAAGGGGGACGTACAATAGATCAACAACTGGTCACGGTGCATGGGGAAACCCACCCCCTCCAATAACGAATGAATGAATAATCTAAGTAACAGCGAGCTGGCTGAACCAGTAACACTTCTGACATGTATTTCTGAAGTGCCTGGTACAATCTTGGTCTTGACACCAGTTATCCTGACCACAGTTTCTTGTGATTTTCCACAGTCACTCCTAGCAAATGCCAGGACAGATCCTTAAAATTATATAATAACAGCTTCCTCTAACATCCATTCCAAATCATCATTCAGCATCATCCAAGCATTTTACACTACACGGTCTGAGTAACTCATACTCATACACACACACTTCCACAGAGCCATACAAAGTATAAGGATGTGGAAATTGCCATAACCAATAGAAAGGAAAAAAACAGTACAAATGTACATATAGTCAAGCAACACTACACAATATCATAACATTTATGGGCACAAAAACAATACTAAAAACCTAATATTAAAAACTATATATGATTAATACTTATTACAAAGAAATGATATATTTGTTTTTATCATATTGAAAATCAAAATATTCTTTCAATGTATAAAATGAATGGCAACACAAAAAAATCCTTCAAAGCCTACTTAAAACCGTTACAATTTCTGTATAATTGCTTTAAGTATAAAGGAAGATTATTAAACATGTTGATACCCATATAGCAAGTTCCCTTGTGATATAGTGATAGATGAGCTGAGGGCTGACAAAGATTGTAACCTTGTCTTGTACTTCTGTTATGTATACCTGATATAAATTGGTATGAATCCATGTTATCAACCACAAAAGAATAAATATACTGAAATTGAAGAGGGAGAATTCTTAATGTTTTAAATAACTCTCTACAACTGATAGCATCACTAAATAAACTAGAAATAAATAAATAAATGTATAAATAAAAGTTTATTTTTCCACATAAGAATACACCAACTTGTCCTTGTCAGACAGTTAAAAGTATGAAGAGACATAAAAACTGCTATATTTCCCAGTCATTTATACTGTAACGTGTTTGGAATCCAGAAGAGTCACTTCTATGGAAACGGTGGAATAGACCGTTGCATAGGAAACAACAATAGCGGTATTGTAGTTCTAACAGGAGTCTCCACAGTTACAACAAAAGGTCCAATGCATAGCAACGGCCACAGACATGTAAGAAGGCAACACATTCGATAAAGAGTCTGGTATTAGTCGCCGAAGAAGAAGTATGGAATTAACCGCTAAAGGAGACAGTCTCGCGATAGATGCCGAGAGATACAGATGTACTGGCCGAGATATTGTAAGCATAATACAGCAAGTGGTGATGATTGCAAGGTGTGTAAGAGTGAACGACCAATAAAGATTCGCTGAATCCGAGACCCACGTATATTTATTTGTCGCGTGACACACCACAACATGTGACAATACCTTTAGCTTTAGTAGGTGTCACTCTTAAGGCATTCATGACTGTGTTTGAGAACACTTGCACAATCTATAGGAACAGGCCCAGCAGTAACATGATTTATTCATAACTGTGCATTCTTTCTTTGTAGATATTTCACACTTGCTGCAAAACTGTTTAAGTTACTGACCTTAGAATAAGCATCTGAAGGATTTGGGCACAGTTTCAAGTATTCAGCCACTAAATGGTTCAGGTAACTTTGCCGTACATTAGCTGGAATTTTTCCTCCCAGTTCACCAATAATTTTAGGTTGTGTAAGAGCTGCCTGAAAAATCAAGAACAAAAAAATTTAGCACAGCAAAAAATAGTATGTATATTTTGGGGATAATATGAAGAGCAAATTATTCCCGCTGTTTATCTGTAACTTCATGTACAATATAAGAAAGTATTACATAAGAGTTCATGGCATTTTTAAATGTTTACTTATTAAGAGCCATAAAATCATTGAATGGTTTCCACTGAAATTACTTTGATCTATTCTGAAGTCTGTTACAGTGGTCCCCTATTTAATGCTTGACTTAATGTTTTCCCTTGTTTAAGATTCAGTTTCATGAACTCAAACCAAATAATCTCAGTATGAAACATCAGTTTAGTGTTCAAATACACTGTTCCCAAGAAATACACGTAGGTTATCCAGAAAGTGAGTTCCGATGGGCTACTGAAAAAAAAAAAAAACAAACAAGTATATATTTCCAAAACATTTACATTGTCATTTGATGTACATACTGTACATTACTTCTTGATAAAGTTTCCACCAATTTTGAGGCACCTGTTGTGGCAGGGTACCAGGTTTTGAATCCCTGCATCATAGAATGATGACTAGTGAAGACAGAGAAGACTATGTGTGCTGTAGTTACAGTAATTTGTAAAGTGTGGGGATCAGAGATGGTGCTCTAATTAAGCGTAGTCATAAGAAGTGCGGTGAAGTGGTTAGTAAATCCAATTACCAATCCACACACCATCATCTATAGTCACTCTAAATCACAACAATATTTTAACTCCATAGCAATTCATCCTAATAACCTATTACAGAATTAGAAGACAAATTAAGCATGAAACCTAACCCCATTCCTTAGCATTTCACTGTGCTAGTTCATTATTTTCAACTGAACAGCAGGATCACAGCATCAGAATAATGGAATGTATGTTAGCAGAAAAACTTCCAGATTGAAGTCTTCACCAATGTGAAAACATAAAATGTCATATTGCAAAAGTTAATTTTGCATTATTAATGGATCTTTTCCACTCCATTTGAGAAAATAATCAAAATTACATAAAAAAATCTGTGGTTTTAGTCCGCAAGCGAACTATACCAACTGAGCAACCGTTGCTTATTGGTGAAGTTAGTGCCAACTTTAGTGGATAGAGGGTGTTGCGTGGTCAATGCTACAAATCCCCATGGCTGTTAATTTCGGTTTTCTAGACCGGAACTGCTATTTCCTGCTGAATTATTCTCACGAGACTGTGCTGTATATAAAAAGAGAAAGAATTAAAGGTTGCATGGGACTCTGACTTGCCTCTGTGGAGGGCAAATGCATTGAATACTTTTCATTATTAACATTATCATGTCTATCAATTACTTTAAAAATATTACCCACCATGGAAGGTCTGTGAGCAACACGATGGCCACCTTTTGGTACAGTCTGGACAACTGTGTGAGATTCCGTACTCTCATTTGGAAGAAAGGCACTCTTTGAGGTAGGCACAGATGCAGCATCGCTCTGCTTCCTCTTTTCAAATGCAGCTTGCATTCTGACCTTGGCATTAAGTAAGTGTAATACATTTGGTACATGTGCAATACGAACACGGCCTGAAAAAAAAAACAGAAGTTCTTTGTAGGATTTGAGGTTCTCACAAAGGTGGTTATGAAACATTTTATCTTCTGGGACATAACAATGTGCAGTATGTTGAAAGTGAACAGACTTTCTGGAGGAACATGTCACCTCCATCACCAGAGCTGGGGAATAAGCTAACCAAGACACCAGCATGACACAAGCAACAAGTTCAACTTGTTTCTTGCATGGCTTACTATTCAACCTTGAAGATGGAAGTGACACATACCTCCAAAATAGGCTGCGCCACAGCTCAAGCGGTTAGTCACTGCCTTCCCACCACACCGGCCCGGGTTCGATCCCGGGTCTGGTCAAGTGGGATTTGTGGTGGACAAAGTGGCGCTGGGGCAGGTTTTCTCCGAGTACTTCGGTTTCCCCTGCCAATCTTCATTCCACCAATTGCTCCACAATCACCCTCACCTATTATCTGGGGCTGGTACAATAGGCCAGAAGTGGCCACAGTACAAGGGACTTAGTCCCACCCCACTAGCAATAAAAAAATAACATGGAACCACATCTACCTTTTCCCCCACCCTCTCTCTCTTGCATTTGTATGAACGACTTTCCAATAAATTGAATAATTTGTAACACATTGACATTTTGACCATTTTTTATTTTATCAAATTTTGAATTTGATGAATAAATTTCGAGAGTTCAACAAAATTTTGTGTAATGGCATTTGTGTATTGTTAAGTCACTCACGTAATGGCCCGCTTGAGTGTCCAGAACCCACACTGCTGCTAGAACTCATACTAGTAGATGTGGTACTTCCAGAATTGACAGTTGATACACTTATTCCTGCATTTTCTGTGGCTCTTCTCTCCTGAAGTTCCTGCATCTTTGAGATTCTCATGCTCATAACCTGAAAACCAAGCTTCACAGTTAAGAAATGAATCTCCTTCAAACCTGCGTATCCAGAGACACTCTGTGGCATAATTTTTTTTTTCAGAAATTTGAATTTAGAAATTGTAAAAATTTTTATTTCACATGAAGATAACGATTACTGTTGCCACTAATCACTCTTCAAAACCCAGGTATAAGAAGTAGCGTGTTCAATATTAAGCCTGTTCCATCTCAATGCTGGTTTCATCATTTAACAATGAAGGCTCTGCTTCAGTCAAGGCGGTATAACCATTATACAGAATGTGGCTAAAATGATGCTGCAAAAAAATGGGACAATTTCAGTTTCAGCTTTTAAGGTTTGATTGATAGTGTCAGGTGTTAGTGACTAGACATGGGGCTTGGGTTGACAATGAGATTTATTGCATACTTGTAACTACAAATAACTATGACACCTTCATTAACACACACACACACACTTAAAATCAGTGCTCCAGACATTAAATTTCCTCTGCCTCCAAAAGTCTTTGCTTGGCAACAGCGTCTAACAGTGCAACTCAAGACTGCTACCTGCTGACTTCAGCCTCTGACTATCTAGCTTTGCTTCAGGTAATACTAACAACAATGAAAATGGTGAATCATCCATTGTTAATTTTCAAATCCCCATGATTGCCTAGCTTTTTATTTTCATTCTCACTATACAGACTCGGCATGGACCGCACATAAAACACCTTTTCCATGAATTCCTCTGGTTGAGTTACATGTTAAGCGGGCTGCTGCCTAGCAACAGCCTGCATATTGTTGGGATAGGAGCATATTTTGATTGTCACAGACATGTAACTGCTGACCTATTCTTATGCCCGCTATGCCAGCTTTCAGCCGTCACATCACAATCTGTTTGGTGTGCTAACAGTCACATAGTTTGGCTGACTACAAAATAATTCAGCATCTTTCTTTAAGTTTGTATTTTATTCAATGACATTGTCAGTAACTCGGGATGTATAGCATCCAATGGTTGCATGACAGTCAATAATGAATGGAAAAGGAAGTGGCAGGAAGTAGTTATGGACCAGTTTAACCCGTTGCCGTGGTTCGTCGTGTATGTTTCGTCAGGGATTTAAATCGTCTGGGGGGGTTCGACGTGTATGTTTCGTCCAGCTGCACACGTATGTTATAACGCCCATAATAATTGATGGTTTTGCTGTAGATTGTTAGATTTTTCACTGGCCTGTTGTCAGGAGGACTGTATTTAATGACACACGCGTTTAAGAGCGCTAAGTCGTCGTTACATATGCCTGTCTTGCAGCAACGTTCCTGTGGCTATTGCGAGCTGTTTCTGTTATGAATGATGTGTTTTGTTTGCTCTGAAGCTATAAACACCAGAGACTGATATGTGCTGGTGTTTATA